AAAGCTTATGCTCTAATAAATTTGTTAGTCTCTAAGGTGCCACAAGTACTCCTGTTCTTCTTTTTACCAAGGGTTGTGGTAAGAAATGTCATGGTTGTGGTGATCATATGATTGTATGTTATCATAAAAGATATTTTCTAGTTCAACCACAGCTATTGGACTTGGAGCATGAATTAATTCAAGGAAGTCCTTTGATCTGTGTTATAAAGGTGTTCAGACTAGATGATCACCATGTTCCCTTCTGGCCTTAAATCTATGAATGAACAAAGATTTAAGAAGATGAAATGAGATTTTCAAAAATGCACAAGAACATAGGCACTTTAGAAAATTCTTAACTAGCTAAATACAGACAGGCTCCTATTTTTAAAAATTTAGCCAAAAACTTCATTCATATGAAGGCAGATCATACATTTTTTTGGTCTCCTGCACAAATATCTGTTGATATTTGGAAAGTTTCCAATCAACAGATATTGGCTTGGCCTATTTTGAATCCTGCTTTAACAACACATGCCAATCATGAAATTCTCCAAATCAGTGGGGCTACTCACATTAGTAAGGATTTGCTGAATCAGACCCTAAGATTGTAATACACCTCTACCTCAATATAACGCTGTCCTCGGGAGCCAAAAAATCTTACAGCGTTAAAGGTGAAACCACGTTATATCGAACTTGCTTTGATCCACCGGAGTGCGCAGCCCCGCCCCCCTGGAGCATTGCTTTACCGCGTTATATCCGAATTCGTGTTATATCCAGTCGCATTATATCGGGATAGAAGTGTACTATAATCACCTGTCCTCTCAGTATAATAAAATTGCTCACAAAGTTGGATTCTGTGTATTTTGTCTTGTATCCAAACATGTGATAGATATTGACTGTGCTGCATGTACTAATAGAGAACTTTGACCTCCATAATTTTTCTAATACAGTATACTCCTGGGTTTCTGAAACCTTATTATCCGAATCCCATTATTTCTGGATAATACAGAGGTTCAGATAATAGAGCAGAGACTCCTTGCCAGGGAAGGCCATCCTGCTACTGAATGGCTCCTGTGACAGTGCAGGGAGCGCTCCACAGCTCCACTGTCCATGGGAATGAGTGAGTGGGGCCATGACAGCGGAGCTGAAGAGGACTCCCTGAACTGCCTCTGGGCCGGTGATACCTGATCTCTGCAGTTGCAAGGTGTAGAGAAGGCTACTGTTCTAACCAGGGATCTCTGCTCTGCCCCACCAGGACCGCAGCCTCTCCCTGCCCCTTGCGCGTGCAGTAATCCAGGGAGGGTAGGAGCATGTCGCATGTATAGAGATGATGTTTGCTTATTTCCTATAGTAATGTGTTGTAATGTAAAAAGGCCCAAAAATCTATTTCCTAAAAACAGGTTTGACAATAATCAAGAGAGGCATGGTAAAGTATGAGTAAAGTGAAGTGAGACAATTCAGAGATAAGTTAAGGCATAACCCCAGTTCATGTTGTAAACATGTTTTGGTCCTAATTGGTTTTTACAAATGTTTTAAATAAAATGTTAATGTTTTGGAAAATGCTACCTATAATGCTAGTTACTGGTCTGGCATTGAGGCAGATGTTAAGATGATGCTTAATGTTAAACAGCCAATGAGAAAGTAGAAAATATTTAATTACGGTTACGGAAATAAATATATGGTAAAAGGAGGATTTAATGTTAATTAATTAAGTGGCATTATTATAGTTGATTATAAAAAGGGTAGTAGGTTGATGTTAGATAGGCACGCCAATCCCCCATCAAGGTACCACTAAAGAATTATATCCGCACTTCTCATCCAGAAGCTGAACAGATATGCATGCATCTTTTCACTTTAGAATGCGAGTATAAATGCAGTGCATGATCATATTGTAATGCCTGTTTGCTTAAACTATTTTATATTAAATAAAATCCTTAATTTTATCATTCACCGTGTCATTCACAGTCCTCCACTAAATTAAATGATCTGTAACTACCCTGGAGGCGCAAACCTTAAGGAATTCAGTTTGGTTTTATTTCTTATGTTTAAACTAGTAACTGGAAACACATAAATCAAAGGTTACAAGAGGCAACGCAGGGAGTCCTCTGCAGCCCCACTGTTATGGGAGCGAGCAGGGCTGTGACAGCAGAGCTGAGGAGGGCTCCCTGCGCTGCTGCTCCTGCCCTCTCAATTATATGAACTCCCAATTATTCAAATAAAATCCATGTCCCCCCCGCTATTCGGATAATTGGGGGTATACTCTACTGTGCTACTTAGGCCTGGTCTACTCCTAAAACTGAGATCAATCTAACTACATTGCTCAAGGCTGTGAAAAATTTCATACCGTCTGGGATGTAGTTAGGTGGACCTAACTGCCATTGTAGATGCAGCTAGGTCGACAGAAAAAAATCTTCCATTGACCTACTTACTGCCTCTTGGAGAGGTGCATTACCTACTTCAATGGAAAAACTCCCATCAATGTAGAAAGCGTCTACATTACCGTGCTACAGTAGTGAAGACACACCCTTATTTATTTACTGTATAAGTTTATATTGCATCTGCGTCAGAGGTGATTGCTTTTACTGAAGTGTTCTCTCAACTAATGGTGTTTCACCATATGTGGGAGACGAATTCTATTAATACTTTATAACACAAGCTGCCCCTTTGTGGCTTGCTGCCAAGAATCAGAGCAAGCAGATTATCACAGCAATAGGTCTTGCTTTGTGCTAGTGCAACAGACCTAATAAAAATGGTTTCCTTCTCCACAAAATAGAGTAGGATTATGAGGCTCACTTGGAAGTTTTAGGTTTATGCTTAATTTTTATTCCAGCTTTTCCTCTTCTCAGTAACATGAATAAAATGGAGGGATTGAGATACATGAGTGACAGCCATCATTAACTTTTGCAATAGTAATCTTTTCTCTATGGGTTTCTTGTTGAAGGACAGCACCTCAGGAGGAACCCTAGAATTCTCCTTTTATGACACAAGGTGGGGAGTTATCTTCTCACCAAAGTGATGGCACTTGGCATTTTGCACCCTCTCCTTCTTTTGTATTAGTCTTTAGCTGGTAGGTTTAATCCTCTACCTATTATTTGCATTGGTAAAAATTTTAAATATGAGTACTATATGTTTGTAAGTAGGCGGTTGGGAAAAAGAGATTGGATACATTTTAAAGAGAGAAGTATGGTGCTGAAGGAAAGAGATTTGGAAATAAGTAAAAGAAAGGAGAGGGGAAATCGCTACCTCCTCCCCTGCATAAGAACATAGGGAAGGAAATGAGGGAGTAGAAGAGAGAAGAAAGAGGAAACAAACAGTGAAAATAATTCATGGAAAGATACATCATGATTAAGGATATGATTTTTGGCACGGGTATTTTTATTAAATAGACAGGACATAGGCAATAAGTCAATAAATCACAAATGTACCCAGGGCAGCATTAGGAGCTAACAAATGGGACAACTGCAAAGCTAAGTTATGGGCAGCGGGGCTTGGGCTTTGGCTTCAGCCCAAGCCCCACCTGGCGGGGCTGAAGCCTGAGCTGAAGAAGTGGACATCTGTTAAAGTCACGGAATCCGTGATCTCCCTGACCAAATCATATCCTTGGTCATAATCTAATACAGGAAAGAAAGGGAAAGCCTGGAGTGGAGATAGAAAGATAAAAATACAGAAAAAGGGAGAAAAATTACATTTTTAAAGACGTATTAAAGAGAAAACTGATTGCCAAATTACAATTAAATACAGTAAACAATACAAACTTGTTTTATTCCTTCATCTTACAGGAGTTATATTCTGGGGTGAGTGGCTTGGGTGTATGGCAGCACATTTATTTTTTCACCTGGTTATCAAGCATTGGGTATATTTTTCAATTCCTGATGTTTATTCTGGTAAACAGGCAGCCCTATGTCTTTTGACAACTACAAGCAGTGTGACAAAGAGGACAAATAAATTAAGCTACTTCACCTATTCCATGGAGACTAAACCTTCCATCATAGTTATGATTTTTCCACCTTCTTGTACAAAAACCAAACAGTTTTGCCCACAATATCTGGGATTGCATTCACTGCTCTCTAATCCAGAAACTGAATGGAGGCATTACCCCAGATTTTTGAGTCATTCTCATCCTGGTAGCATTTTTCAAGTTCTGTGGCCGCTGAAAATATCAGTGGGAAGGCAGTGCTGCTGTACTAGAAGGATCTCCCCATCAAACTCTCTGCACTTCCTTGCTTGTAGAATAATGTGTAGATATTACTGAACAAATTCATGACACTTCAGACCCTCATACCTGATGCAAACTCTCCATCATGAACTTAAAGTTCCTTGAATGTAGTTTTCTTTGCAGTTCTCTCCAACCTAGAGTGAATGATTGGGTATGTCAATTTGGGAAACCCACACACAATATGATTCACTGGCAAAGAACTTTGTTAACTCCGAGGTAAGGTTGCCCAGTGGTATATGGTGCCCTTGCAAAACATTCAGTTCAGCAAAACTCAAAACTTCTGAAAATCAGGAAATACAGAGTTAAGGTACATACCCACACAACCTTAACTCTGTCACCTATGGAGCTGGCAATAGACACTTGGGGTTAGCTGCACGCACTGCAGCTGCATTCACTGATAGGTGTAACTGTATTGAATAGGTTTCAGAGTGGTAGCCGTGTTAGTCTGTATCAGCAAAAAGAATGAGTATTTATGGCACCTTAGAGAAAAACAAATTTATTTGCGCATAAGCTTTGGTGGGCTAAAACCCACTTCATCGGATGCATGCAGTGGAAAATACAGTAGGAAGATATATATACACAGAGACCATAAAAAATGGGTGTTGCCATACCAAGTGTAACGAGAGTAATTAATTAAGGTGAGCTATTAGGTGAGCTATTATCAGCAGGAGAAAAAAAAACGTTCGTAGTGATAATCAGGATGGCTCATTTCCAACAATTGACAAGAAGGTGAGAGTAACAGTAGGGGAGAAAATTAGCATGGGGAAACCGTTTTTACTTTGTATAATGACCCATCCACTCCCAGTCTTTATTCAAACCTAATTTAATGGTGTATTGGAGTATTGCAACTCTTAGGTCTGTAACTGAGTGACCAGGGAGGTTGAAGTGTTCTCTGACTGGTTTTTGAATGTTATAATTCTTGACGTCTGATTTGTGCCCATTTATTCTTCGGTTTGACAGTCTCTATGCAAAAAAATAAATTACAGACCTAAAAGTCGCAATGCTCCAACAAAAACACTTCAAAAACAGACTCCAACAAGAAACTGCAGAATTGGAATTAATTTGCAAACTAGACACCATTAAATTAGGCTTGAATAAAGACAGGGAGTGGATGGGTCATTGTACAAAGTAAAAACGGTTTCCCCATGCTAATTTTCTCCCCTACTGTTACTCACACCTTCTTGCCAATTGTTGGAAATGAGCCATCCTGATTATCACTACGAACGTTTTTTTTTCTCCTGCTAATAATAGCTCACCTAATAGCTCACCTTAATTAATTACTCTCGTTACAGTTGGTATGGCAACACCCATTTTTTCATGTTCTCTGTGTATATATATCTTCCTACTGTATTTTCCACTGCATGCATCCGATGAAGTGGGTTTTAGCCCACGAAAGCTTATGCTCAAATAAATTTCTTAGTCTCTAAGGTGCCACACGTATTCCTCGTTCTTTATATTGGATAGTGGAGAAATTAGATGGAGCAGCTTGGAAGAGTTGTGACTGTGATATGAGGTGACCTGAGGAGGATGCAACTCTCTGTGGATGCGTGTGATCAAAGGAAACAGGTACACCAGTACCTTGAAATATCCAGTATATATCTCATTTCAGCACTACTGTGTGTAGCCTGTCTCAGTAGCAGGTACAGGGGTCTTCTGGCCATGGGACTGTCAGCAGTTAGGTGGGAGATGAGCATGGTCTGTGAGGTTAACGAAAGGTAAGTGTAAGTATGGTGTTAGATGGTATTGTGTGCATAAGGGTGAAGAGGTCATAAAATTTAGCCGATGTGTTCTTTTTGTCTATGCTACAGTGAGCGCTGCAGCTGTGCCACTGTAATCCTGTAGTATAGACACTTACTATACAGATGGAAGGGATTTTTCCATTGATGTAGGTAATCCACCTCTTTGAATAGCAGTAGCTGCATCTACAACACGGGTTGCGCCAACCTAACCACAGTGCTCATGGAGTGAAATTTTTCAAAGCCCTGAGCATTGTAGCTAGATCAATTTAAATGTACACCAGGCCTAAGTGTTTGAGTGTATGACAGATGTAGGCAGTTCCTTTTCAATGCAGTACAAAGGCATTGTGGATATATATTATGGGTATTGGGACATCATTCTCAGAGGACACAATTAAGGCTGAGTATTTCCTGGTTTTAGAAATCGGAGTTTGAAATACCTTAATTCATTCCTAGTTTTCACAAGTCTGAATTTTACTGAACTCAGCATTCTGGAAGAACATGATATATCTTAACTCTGCATTAAGTAAGTTTATTTATCAGTGAATTTTCTAGTTTTGTTTTGTTTTTTTTTAATATAATCAGAAATGTTGTTGGTAGGTGTTAGTAGTCATTTAGGCATTCTAATTAACATAGATGTGCAGTTGAGACACTGCTGTGGCCAGGCAACAATAATAATACCTAAGAGACAAAGCGGGTGAGGTAATATCTTTTATTGGATCAACTTCTGCTGATGAGAGAGACAAGCTTTTGAGCTTATACAGAGCTCTTCTTCATGTCTGGGAAACATACTCAAGGCAAGTCTACACCACAAAATTAAGTTGACCTAAGTTACGTCGACGCACAACCACTGCAGTTTTATCGGCTTTACACATACACATTATGGTCCTTGTGTCAGCGATGTGCATCATCACCAGGAGCGCTTGCACCGATTTAACGGACAGTGTGGGGCATTGTGGGATGGTTCTGAAAGGCAGCAACAGTCAGTCAATGTAAGCAACACATTATCTACACTGAGGGCTAGTCTACACTAGAAGCGGTACAGTGGTGCCGCTGCACCGATGCAGCGGCGCCACCGTAGCACACCCGGTGAAAACGCTCTCTGCCAATGGGAGAGAGCTCTCTCATTGACATAGCTCTGTCTACATCGGCGCCTAGGTCAGTGTAACTTATGTCACTCACAGGGGCGGTTTATTGACATCCCTGCACGATATAAATTATACCAACATAACCTGTAGTATAGGCAAGCCCTGACACTGC